CTTTCGAACATCATTAACATTGGGATTATGTTGACAATCTGCCCGGAAATGCTTATTCGAATCACAAATTGAACATCTTGCTACATCGCCTGTTTTGTGACTGATAGCATTTAACTCATCTTTGTAGTCTGAGTTATTCCTTTCTTTTGAATTGAGCTGTTTGTCTCTTTCCCATGGTCTGCTGTCATTTCCAGATCTCCCTCTGCCATTGGAGTAATTGTTATAACCGCCAGAAGAGAACGATTTCCTTCCTCCTTGTCCTCAATTATTGTATCCTTGATAGAATGTATATTCTCCGTTATCACCACTGATGTCAGTATCCTTTTTCATCAAACTGACCCCTATGGTAATGCACATCCGATCCAGGTTCTACCTTAATCTTCACTGTGTCTAACTCCAGTCTGGATCTACGACAGAAAACAGCGTCACCGAAACACCTCTTCAAACATTCCTCAATTGCTTTACTTGTCAACTCTTGCTTTACTTGTCAACTCTTGAGTCCCCATTGCAGCTTTGATCAATATCTGTTGATCTTTGGTAAGGTTAGCCTGAGTTAACAACCTGTATGCCAACATACCATCATGATAAATTTCTTTCTTGTCATTAAACAACTCTCCGATCCGGTTCAATCGTCTCTTGAACTCAGCGATATATTCTGTCATTTGCATTTGTTCCGGTCTAACAAACTTTGCTAGATCATCAATACCTAGAAATATACTCTGAGTACATATAAATATACTCTAAGCGTGTTGCAAAATCTCTTGCCTTGAAATCCTGGATCCTCAAGACACACACTGCAGCCTGCTTAGTAGCTGCTATCGAAGTTCCCAACTCCCAGATGCCGACTTCACGTTTCCACTTCAAGTAATCCATCCCCTCTGTCGACCAAGGTGGTTGGTCTCCTCCCATGTCTTATCAGTTCTTCTACCTGCTACCAATGATAAATTTCTTTCGTCCATAGCTTTCTGTACAAGAGGATCTTGCCCTCTTTGAAGACCTCCTCGGCCACCGTGTCCTTGCGTACACTCCATTGCAATATGACCCTGTCTCCCGCATCCATAACAAGTGGGGGCTTTCTACATTCCTTTGCGAAATGTCCATGCTGTCCACAGGTGTAACCAGCACCGATGTCTCTTCTCGGCCGGTTCTCTTCCATCACTCGGTTTATCACTCCCTCATCCATCTCTATATCCTCCTCGATTTGAAACAAAAGTTCCTCCTCATTCTTCCCTGGTTTTAGGGCTACGACTCGCCAGGATCCCATCCAACTTAACTGCCCTCTTTAGCGCGGCCTCAAAATCTTGCACTCGTGACTTGATTAACTCGATCCCGATTTCATCCTTTAATACCCCAGCTGTAAATACATCTAGCCTGATGGTCTTCTTGATCTCCTCCTCCTCCGGTGCATATGCCTCATCTGCCATGTCAGTGACTCTAGCTGCAAAATCCGAAATTGTCTCTTCCTCTTTCTGATGCATCTCAAGAAGTCTCTTCCTGCACCCGCCTTTGAATGCACATCACATAGCACCTCTGTCCTCCTCTCCAAACTCGCCTCTACATTTCTCTTCTCGTCCCGGGTTAATCGTAGGGTCTCCACTCTCCTCTGTGCCTTGGGGTCCAAGTACGTCATTATCATGTCCACCAAGTCTTCATCCAAGATGTCCGCAGCATTGGCAAATATTTTAAACCCGCTCAGGAAGGTTCTAAAGCTGTGTTTCCCCAGCACAAACATCCGAGGTTTCATTAATGGGTATTTCTTACCCGCTGCTCTGTTTGCTTCTCTGATTCTCCTCTTTTCGGTCTCCTTCTCCTGCCTAGCTTCTAGCTTACCCTCTCTGAATCCATCTCTTCTTAGCTGTGCTCCCTGCTGCCTCAATTCATCATATTGAGTCCTTAACTCTTCGTTTGCTAGCTCAGCCTCCTGCCGCGCTCTCATCATTACCTCATTAGCTATCTTTATCTCTGCCAATTCCTCTCTCGTTTGCTAGCTCAGCCTCCTGCCGCGCTCTCCTCATTACCTCATTAGCTATCTTTATCTCTGTCAATTCCTCTCTCAGTGCCGCTTCCCTGACTCAAATTATTTGTTATATAGTAGTGTTGAAAGTATTAAAATACAATACAAACACTGTCTCTCTCTCTTCAACAGTTCCTCTCTCAGTGCCGCTTCCCTGACTCAAATTATTTGTTATATAGTAGTGTTGAAAGTATTAAAATAAAATACAAACACTGTCTCTCTCTCTCTCTCTCTCTCTTCAACAGTTCCTCTCTCAGTGCCGCTTCCCTGACTCAAATTATCTGTTATATAGTAGTGTTGAAAGTATTAAACTAAAATACAAACACTGTCTCTCTCTCTTCAACAGTTCCTCTCTCAGTGCCGCTTCCCTGACTCAAATTATTTGTTATATAGTAGTGTTGAAAGTATTAAAATAAAATACAAACACTGTCTCTCTCTTCAACAGTGTACTAATTAAAATACAAACACTGTCTCTCTCTTCAATAATGTACTAATTAAAATACAAACACTGTCTCTCTTCAACAGTTCCTCTCTCAGTGCCGCTTCCCTGACTCAAATTATTTGTTATATAGTAGTGTTGAAAGTATTAAAATAAAATACAAACACTGTCTCTCTCTTCAACAGTGTACTAATTAAAATACAAACACTGTCTCTCTCTTCAACACTGTACTACTTACAATACAAACACTGTCTCTCTCTTCAACAATGTACTAATTACGATGCAAATATTATCCCGCTCTTTAACAGTGTACGAATTAAAATGTAATAATTAAAATAACCAGTGTACAGGTCAAATGTAATAATTAAAGCTCTCGCTTATCAGCTCTCTATTGCTCGGTTTTTACTCTAATTGATAAATCAGTGTCTCACACCGTCACTCCATGACTTAATCTCAGTCAGTTCCTCCTATTCAAATATTCGGACAGTCAATTCAACACTCTCTTCACAGAAAAGTAGTCCTAGTTTCTTTCATCATAGAAAATACCATACCCTGGCACCCCTCAAATTTCAAAACCCCTTCAAAACGTTCCAAGTTTTCAAATTAATACACCGCTCTAATTCCCTACAAGTGACGTCACCACTCTCCGAATAACCTCTCCTCAACCTCTAATGCTAGCATCACCCGGGTCTTATTTATATAATATCTCTTCCTTTATCTCTTCCTCTTTCTCTTCCTCTATCTCTTCCTCTATCTCTTCCTCTATCTCTTTCATGATATCACAATACGTAGCGCTACTAAAAGAAAACAAGTCTGACACACTACAGAACGGTTCAGCAGGCAGCCACTCCCACTGAGGCTCTGGTGGCTGAAAGTATGTCAAGTCTGCCGTCTTAAAACTTAAAATAAGACCCGGTTATCTCTGAATCAACTCATCAAAACACTCTCTCGAACCAATCCCTCAACGGACGGACATATACTCCTCAAAATAACTCCTCATAACCTGTGCCTCTCCGGTATCTAACCCCCTTTCCCTTCCATGTGAAAGAAACCCCAAAAATACCATTTAAACTCTACACTTCACCGAGCATTCATTTACTGCTCTTGCACCGCACTAGTCTAACAATGGTAACTGACAACACTGTATAATATTACGTTTACGTACATATTTACAAATACTCCTGACCTCTGTCGACTCACTCTCACACACTAAATAGTCTCCATTACCTTAATTAAAATACAAAACAAACTATCCTATAATAAAATAGGATCCTACCGTTCGCGCCACTTGTAAGCAGTCGACACTTGCTTCCCGGTTCGAAGTTTATTTGCATTTAATTAAGGGTTTGGACAATGGAAACGAGCGTGATAATAAAGGGTAAACAAAGTTAAACTATGAAACAATACAATGAATAATTCGACAACCTCTACTTCAAATCCTAATTAACCAGACTCGTATCGCCCATAAACGCTCAGCGATCTAGTGCTGCAACATAAAACACGGATAGCACGGTCAACTCGCCTTGACCGTGCCTAATCTATGTGCCCTGAAATAACCACTGTCGATTCTAAACCTCTAACGACACGTTCCATCCGTGCTCACCAGGCCCCAACCATAACTGGTCCTGGTCCCTTACACTAGTCTGGTATCAACCATGATCCTCTATCGAATAGGGTGAGAATGCAAACAAGGGGTATAATAAAGGTGCCCAAGGTACTTAACTGAACAATGAATAATCGAATATTTGCTCAACCAACGCTTAGTCACTTAGACTCATATTGCCTCAAATGCTATTCTACGGCCGCCAATCTTATACTTACCACTATAACCATCTACCTAACTAAACGACCTAACCTTAACCAGTTCTAGCTCCTACTCTTAGTCTAGCTTTACCTATCTAAGTCAACCAGCGCTGACTCCCGCTCTGCCGGAGCCCAGTGTTGTCAAGACATCCCCTGGTGTCGGCCACAACCAAGCCTGATAACAGTAATTACGTAATGCTCCACTATTCTACGGCCGCCAATCTTATACTTACCACTATAACCACCTACCTAACTAAACGACCTAACCTTAACAGGTTCTAGCTACAGAACCTGCCCGGTATCAAAATGACCCCCCTCTCGATCGGGTAAACTGGCACTCCTCTATCTCAAAAGGCTAATCGTATTTTCCTCTCGCCCCTGATTGTCTAAACAATCTACCATTTCCCGGGAATCTCAAACTATCCTGTCAATAGCCGCAACATTGTAACACTAGTATTTTGTAAACACTCCATAACTCAACCTCGTACTGACCCAAACATATGTTAAACTGACCTCTCTGCACTTAAACTGCAATAACTGTCGTATACTAATATATGCCCAAAATACTACCGTCACATACTGGACACCACGACCGCCTTATTATAATCATTACACTATCTACATATTACACAATATTACCCTAAATTCATCTCCATTAATCACTGCTTACCAACTTGTCAAATCCTGCTCTGAGTAGAATTCAGTAATTCTATATCAAACAATATTCCAATGCTCGTACACTGTACAGTCAAACTGTACGTGTCTCCTTTTTGACATCTTTTCCTTGTGTTTTATCACGTTCCGAATCAAGAGGCAAATGAAAAGTTCTGATATGCATTATGGGTCTCCTTATCCTTCTATGGATCCTCTCAATATGCTATAGAATAACGTCTGGTATATCCTGTTGGCCAATTCTTGCCCCCAGCCAACTCACAAGAACAGGTGTGATAGTACTCAATAATGCTACATCACTATACGGGATGATAACTCTTGAAAGTGAGGAGATACCTGATGGAGGAGTCTTGGAATTCCTCATTGATCGTGAAGATAGTCAAGGTAACGGTGGAAGATATGAGAACCTGGATGAAGAACAATATGACGTACTCTTGAGGATTGAGTTCACTCCAGATAAAATAGTGATGTCGAACAGTATAATAGGGGAGGACTTGGTCGGGGAGCAGGAGTTTCTGCTGAATCCTAATCGGACAGAAGGTTCTCCAATATTCCTTCAATTACTGGGAAGGTTGGTTAATCCCTCTAGTTTATACTAATCAATATAGTACGGTGGATATTTTTCGAAAGCACCTCTTTCAATGGTCCTGCTTAGAACTTAACTAGTCCATTTTTACTTTTAAAGCCTCGACATTTTTTGATATTCTTATTTTTTAGTGAGGGCAAAACAAGTATCAAGATCTTCGGAAATGCGCTGGAGGAAAAACTTGATAGTTATCAATTCTCAGAGAACTTTCTTCGTGACATGAAATTTCGAATGATATCCAAAACTTTTGAACTGAGTGTTTTAGATTTCTGCTCGACTTCCTACCCAGAGATTGTGTGCGAGCCAGATCTTTACCAAGGGTTAAATTCGGATGAATCTTTGACGTTTCATCACAGCGAATGTGTAGAGACATTGGTCATTCACCCGGACGAAGAACGGTTATTGAAGTGTGTTGGCTATGGAGCTCCCGTCATGGGAGCAAGTTGGGACTTAGTAGGTAAGTTTGATTTGGTAGGTACTGATGCTGATATTGAAGTATCCCATAAGGGGTGTTATGCTTTTCAAACAACAAAGAAGCTGGTTAACAGTGGTGCTGAATCTCTTCAAGGCCAGGTAACGTGTGAAATTTGGAACAAGCACTTTCTATTTCCTCATCGGTACAAGGCAAAGAAATTTATCATCACGTTTGTAAAGAGAATTACGGAGAAGAACACTACTCCTTCAAAACTAACCACGTCTGATAAACCAACTAGTTCGAACGCAGAAGAGTTGGTTACAACTGAGGAGGGCAAAGCAACTGAAAAAGTAGAACCAGTCATCAAGCCAACTGAGGAGAGAAAAGCGACTGAAAAAGTAGAATCAACCACCAAGCCAGCTCTGACTTCAAAGATTCAATCGATCACAACAATGGACTCTGAGAACAGTGCAACTACTCGGTCAAGTGATAATAATCCTCTTACATCTCACAAGAGGAACTCTACCACCAGAAGAAGCAATATTACCCTTGCGCCGGCGGATTTATCCGTCAACACAATAGATAGGAACCCCGGTCTTTACCAACCCTCACCTGTAACAGTCTACATACTATCCTTGTTCCTGGTGTCCTGTGTAGTCGGAGTACTATGCTTTATGTCCGCTGCTATCTGCAGAAAGCGTCAAGGAATCTCACTGATTCAACTTGATAATCTTATATCTGAACAGTGCCGCAAAGATTCTGTGCCTAAGATAGCTGTCCCCCCAGTTCCTAAGTGCTATGAAAGACAGAAGACAACATCCACTGTCATGTCCTGTTCTGTTGACGAGGATCCCGCAGTGGAACACATCTACCAAACCATTGATGAAGCCCACGATCCCGACTATTGTTATGCTTGGACTGTTCCTCCAGTGGTTCTGCAGAAATCTAAAGTGGACGTCCAACTGGTTCTGACGCCTACTTCTATTTCAAAGAGTAGGTCTGAAGGATACGGCCTTCAGTCTTCCGGAGAAGGTAAGCACTCGATCTTCAGCCAATCCACCTCAGGTGCATCAGCCTATCAGCGGACTTATTCCAACACTGGTATTTGCTCCTCGGAGGATCTGTCTCTGTCCGTACCTGCAATTTGTGTTGATGACGTTGAGTTTTACGCCGAATCTGCAACCGGTCCATATCGTCCTGGTTCATGTGCTAGAAGCCGTGCTCAACGACAGTTCATCAAGTCGGAATACATATCACTTGCAGCAGCAAAAGCTCAACCAGGAATCTTACATTTGACCGAAACCGAGGAAAGCATACAGATTTCGGTACCAGAAACTCGTTTAGATGTTGAAACTGTGGTCGAAACGGAGGATAATGTTGCAATTGATTTTGCAACGATTGATGAGTAATAAGTGTCTTCCGTAGAACTGACCTTGGTCCTTGTTGATTGATTTAAATTAGGACATAATGATTGATAATACTCTCAAGATTTAATTATCTAAGGGAGGTTCCATATGACTGTCAGAATTAACTTTAGATAAATCTTTGTGTTACAAGAACTGACTCTATCAGCGATGTATCCCCTTTTCGTGTTTGTTTTTGCGTTGTCTTTGTTATAAAATATTTAACTGTTGTATAAGAGTTGTTCACTAATATTCTTGATTTTTTTCCTTTTTGAAATTATTTGTATTTTCCATGCCATGACGTATTTTATTTATTGTTAAGTTTAAGTTATTAAGACAACTTAATCTTCTCTCCAACAACACTGTCCTTCTACAGAACTGTAACTCCTGATCTGAGAGTGTCAACTGAAGCAATTCCCATTCCCAAATCCCACTTTGAGAAGAAATATAATTCTGGTTTTGCCAAGTTTCATTGACGGAACACTCTCTTGTATCCCTTGCATGGGACACATTTGATTAGCTTTTCTAATTAACGTTAGAGGCAGGATTCCTATTGTTCTTTTGTTAAAAAATTAACATATCAACCGGACCCGATAATATATCATTATACGTACCAGATAGTGTCGTCGATCCTTGTCCTGATGAACCATGTTTTCCCTCCAAAGACCAAACCATGCCTTTTGCGGGGTACATATTATGCTTCATCCTACTAACTGGTGTGATTTCAGCAATCTTTTCAATATTCACTGCTGCCTGTAGGAAACGTCATCAAGATCTCGCCCTGATTCAACTTGACAACCTAAAAGCTGAAAAATACCGCAAGGACTTACCTCCTAATATCCCTCTTCCTCCAGTTCCCAATTCTTACGGAAAACAGAAGGTAGCATCTACCATAGTTTATCCTGCTGCTGATGAGGATCCACCAGTCGAGCACATCTACCAACCCGTTGACAATGACCAAGATCTCGACTACTGCTACGCTTGGAGTGTGGATGAGGAAGTCATCAAGAAATCTAAAGTGAAGGTCCGAATGGTTCTGACCCCTACTCCTGTTCCAAACAGTGGGTCTGAAGGATACGGTCGTCAGTCTTCCGCAGGTGCATCAGCCTATCAGCGGAATTATTCCAACACTGGTATTTGCTCCTCGGAGGATCTGTCGCTGCCCGTACCTGAAATTTGTGTTGATGATGTTGAGTTTGACGCCGAATCTGCAACCGGTCCATATCGTCCTCTTCGTCCTGGTTCATGTGCTAGAAGCCGTGCTCAACGACAGTTCCTCAAGTCGGAATACATATCACTTGCAGCTGCGACATCTAATTTAGATACCTCAAGATTAGCTGAACCCACCGAGGAGTATATATCACTTTCTGCGATAAAATATCACTTAGAAATCTCCCATATCTCAACACCGGTCGAAACTGACGAGAATGATATTGACTATTGTTGAGGTCCAAGAAAAATGAAGATAAGTTATCAAGCTGCTTCACGGATCTCACCGAGCTTATTGGACATGATGATCATGGTCGTTACCTTGCTTTTTATTGATTTTAGAACTTCTACGCTTTAACCTTGTGCCTTTTCAATTCTAAGGAAAGGAAAACATGTCATCATAACGTAAATACTTGCGAATTCTAGCATAGCTACTTATCATACCGTTCATTTGTAGTAAAATTAAAATTCCGGAATTTCACGAGTCATGGTTAATATTTTATGTTTATAATTTTGTTGGTAAATATTCACCCACATACTATCATAATCGAGCTGGTTATTACGTGTTTCAGAATGAGAGAACGTGTCTTTTATAGAAGTTTTTCAATCTATATCATACGCGTACCTGGTGCCTCGTATTGGGATCCTGGTCAGCCCCATATCATAAGTTGGAACTGGTCCTCTCAAGACTAGAATATTCTGTGTTGATTGCTTTTCAGAGCAGTCTCTATTCTCAATGTGTGGGCGAGGCCGACCAGGCTTTCTCCGAATTATCGTTTTAATTATTGTCTGTATTAATTTTAAGATGTCTGTATTACGTTATTTATTATTCTATTACGTTTTCTGTTAAATAGTTAAGCACGTCTCGTTTTAATGTCTTACTCTTTTACGAGAACGGAAGCAGTTTAAGTACCAATTACCATCGGGTCTTGGTTTAGACATCATGTAATATCTGTCGACATTTCAGGAGTCATAATAAGCTCGTAGTCGTTATACAATGGATCTGGATTCTGGAAACCTAGCTACCGGTTTATCACATGCATATTGCACAATGCACACCCTAGCCTCGCGTCGGTGTATCATCAATATAAATATAGATGTTTTATGGTCATTATCCATCTGCCACATCATTTATTCTCTCTCCCATTCCTTCATCTCTCGCAAAGCTTGATTATTAAGTACCTTGTCCCATTTGCGTGGTTTAAATATTGCACGAGCGGTTGAAATTATGCATGCGGTTTGAATTATTTTATGCCGATCACTACATGCTTAGTCGGTATAAATCTCTGATGTTATCTGGAATGTTTTAAACACATAAATTTAGAACCCCGGATCTTTTGCGTGGACATTACAGCCGTGAACACTGAAACCGATAAGGCCGGTAATTTTCTGTGGTCCTTTAATTTCTGCCCTGTTTTTGTTCAGTATAACCTCCATTTAACATTCCAGTTTTGTGACTACATGCGAATTTTAACATCCTGTGCCCATTTCTCGTAAAAGAATTCTTTTCAAACCTAATCATTTTTAGGAATGTCGGCAATAATAAATGTAACCGTAACCTCAAACCTCTGCGACAATATGTGAGCTAATTATTAAAACATGTCTCATAATGTGAGAAAGTTGCTGTGATATACGCTTTTTGAATTTTTTGATCTAATCTAAATACTTCAAGTCGTGGGGCTATTGTCTTTAAGAGCTTTATACCTGAAAAATTTCTCGGATGTTTAGAAATCTTGTGGTTTTTCTGCAGAAGTTTTCCTGTATCCGAGGTGTATAAAATTTCGAAAGTTTAAATATGTTCGTGTACTCAAGCTTAAGTACGTGTTCATAACGCATCATATCCTCTGGAGAATTACTAAACTTGAGGATGTCTCCCAGGAAATCTTTTCACATGCATGCAATGTTTGCTGGGGAATTTAAATCACTGGGAATTTAAATTCTCAAAACATTTCCGTAACCATCGTTTTGGCATTGTTCATGCGCGTGGTCGATCCTAATAAGCATGTAATAGCTTGTTAACACATATCATAGAACTATCACTTGGGGTAGTTAGACTGTTTTAAACATGTTTTTAACATGTTTGTGTGTTAAATAGACCCCAAACAACCCACTCTCCCCTGTACTATAACCGCTCAACAACACTACTACTTTACAGTGCAGTATTCTCACTCACTCACTCTCAACGTGCCTCTAGCAACAGTCTGAAAGCAGTCATCTTTCATCACATCTACTATTAGCTACAGCTGATAACGACCTCATCCAACTATTATTACTGACAACTCCTCCCTTCAATCATACATCATCATATTTTACCCGATCAGCCCGCTCAGGATTATCGTCTCTCTCTCTTTCTCTCTCTCTCTCTCTCTCTCTCTCTCTCTCTCTCTCTCTCTCTCTCTCTCTCTCTCTCTCTCTCTCTCTCTCTCTCTCTCTCTCTCTCTCTCTCTCTCTCTCTCTCTCTCTCTCTCTCTCTCTCTCTCTCTCTCTCTCTCTCTCTCTCTCTCTCTCTCTCTCTCTCTCTCTCTCTCTCTCTCTCTCTCTCTCTCTCTCTCTCTCTCTCTCTCTCTCTCTCTCTCTCTCTCTCTCTCTCTCTCTCTCTCTCTCTCTCTCTCTCTCTCTCTCTCTCTCTCTCTCTCTCTCTCTCTCTCTCTCTCTCTCTCTCTCTCTCTCTCTCTCTCTCTGCTCTGTTGCACAGTTTGTCACTTCACACCGAAACGTATAACCACTTCTCTTCTCTAACTTTTGTATATCGCTGGACAATTTCCATCTGGTTGCTATAATTGTCTGACAATTTCTCTAATTTCGGCGATGTCTCCGTGACACGCCGTACTGGCCCCTGAAATAAGTTTTAAGTGCCTCTGCTACCTGTCTCTACTCAACTTCATGCTGCAGATTAAGAGGGGTTCATTTGGGGGACGACTTTGTATTTTTGGCTGAAATGAATTATTTCTGGTAATATTTTGATGGCTTTGGCAGCGATTTTACCGTGAACCAGCTGGTATAAATTAACATGGTTTATCCGTACGATAATTAGGATATTTTGTTACATTTTGATAAGCTTAATAACGAGTACTAAAATTCTCACGTACCTGGCAACTGATGGGTACCAACTGCAGGTTTATTAAATTTAAATTAATTCACCATTTTAGCAACATAATTTTGTCGTTATATGATAACAAACGGTCGTGTTGGTTTTTGGGCGCGTACATACATGATACATCAATATTCAATACGTTATCGGTTATTATACCCATCAGCGGTCCAAATCTGTCCGAATATATGTTTGAATCTGTCAGAAGGCTGGTCTGTCTAAATGACTAAATCCGTCAAAAGTCTGTTATACAAATCTAACTTGACACATTGTGTCCAATATATTTGTGATTGTTGACATTTGTAACTCTCTCTCTCTCTCTCTCTCTCTCTCTCTCTGTCTTTGTTTGGATAACCATAATAGCTACACTCGGCCCACTTCATCTTCACTACCACTACCCAGCATGTACCCAGCACTTGTTTGCTTTTCAGCTCATTAAAAATCAGTACTTTTAAAACGGCAACACCTACTTTGTCTACAATAACAGGTTACAATATGTCAATTATCAAGTGTTGAAGGCTGCAATGTCCGCACCAACCCTCCATCCTTCCCAACCAGCCCCTCAATAATGCGGCAGAAGTTTCTGAACTCATTCAAAAATATATTCCGACCAACTTATGGCATATTTTGTGTTTTACTGATGAACCACGGTTTTTGTTTCTTGTGAACAGTCTTGTTAAGAATGTGGTGAGATTCTGGTCTGTATTCCGTCTGAAATTGTCCTCATTTATCGGCTTTTAGTTCTTAAAAGTCGTCTTGTCACTCTCTCAAAACCGCTAATGTTATCACGATTAAAGCCTAATTTAGGATAACGCTTTATCGACTGTTGTGACGTTGTTTAGGGACACTTTTAAGCGATTTTGTCAGTTTAAAATTAGGCTCGAATTTGTCCGTTAATTTTTCCTTTCTGTGTACTGGCAGGCCCTGGACTCGTTTCTCAATTTAGTTTCCCTCGGGCACGTGAATAATTGGTATCAATGGCATGGTGATTGGTTCCTGAGCTGCGTATCCCAATATTTTCTTATCGCTCCTTCTCCCCGTCTACTTCTAGGCCCCCGAGCAGTAGTTCACCTCCTACATTTTTGTCTTATTCTGGTTCAGCTGTTAGGGTTCAAATAACCCGTACTGTCACGTAAATTCTCACGTGAATAGTGATCACTTTTAAAGAGTTACTAGAGTGCAGTATAATGAGTAATATGACCGTATCTTGTCATCATAAAATTACCAAATAACTGCATTCCTGAGCGCTGAGTAGTCAAGATGGTGCTTTTACTTCTCCCTAACCAAATTAACTAATAGCGATTGCGTCACTTCTATTTGATCATACTTGATACGGTTCTATTTGATCTACTTCACCGGTGATTTGATGATGAAATACAGAGGATTTGATGATGAAATACAGAGTGGGTTAAGGTAACCACCCCCGTCACGGTTATATATCATCGGGGGAGGTCGAGACAGATTCATTTCCCTGTAGCTATTGTCGGGGACGACACTCGACAGTCCGCATGGTATTTTGTACCCTAGTCGCTGATAGTTAGTACCGGTTTATTTCACGCCGTATTATATTGCTACTAAGTATCCCATTATCCTAGTGATATCTGAGTAGGAGGGGTCCACTGCAGACTTGCTTGATTCCTAAATAAGGGGCTAAAGAGTCTCCTCTAACCGATCAGCAGTAGTATTCTCTGTCACGTGACAATAACGCACTAATCACAGTGCACCATTTTCACGGCTCAAGATTAACCCTGGCGGAAACGCAACCAGACGTGAATATTGCGTCACGACATTGATACACAAGTGTCAATCTCTTAGTCTTAAAAAGTGTCAATCTGTTAAATTCAACACGCAGTTTTCTAACCCCATTCCTCATTGGTTGAAAAATGTGAACGGTGCTTCCTAATTGGTTGGTTCGAATCACGTGGCTAAAACCCGGGTCTAAACGCAGTGGAGTGTTACTTTGCTTTTCGTCATTAGTTGCCAGATAGTTAATCCAGTTGTGGATGAGTTGTCCTATAGATGTGGACTGTGTTTGCGTGGCTCATTTACGGCTCATTTACCATCCTATCACACAGTATCTCACACATGCAGTAGTGGAGTGCTATATCAGTATATACGTCTGCCGTCTACATTTCACATCTCGCAACCATCGTCAAGAGCTCCAAATATAGTGATCTCGTGCGATCAGAACTTGGACATGACTTAATATATCGTTTATATTTATAGATTTTAGCACGTTTAAGACGACTCGATGATCGTGGTCTACTACAGTTGGGGAGTTTGTGCACTTCAATCCTAAGTAGTGTACTAGATCTCTACAAGTACACAGTCTAGCGCCGCCACCTCTCTGAATTCTTGGCATGCCATCTCGCGGTGTTACATTTCCTAGTGGCTTCCTGACACTGACAGACAGTTTGGCGCCCGACCCCGTCAACTAGTCTTACTTGTGTGTTTTTGTTGTTGCCCTTTGTAATTTACCATGTTCTGCTCCATGTTACTAGTGGTTGTAATAGTAATATTATTAATCATGTGGATTAATAGTGATATAAGTCATGTGTAGCTTGCAAATGCAATCTTATCCAGCCGATTATATACGCAAGTAACTGTTATTACACAAACTTGCCCTGAACTTGTGTGCCTAGTGATTAATGAGGGAGGTCATGCCCCGAGTTAGGGGACTTGTGAGACAGATGCCAGAGTGATGTAATATTGTTGCAGTCCTCAATCTGAGACAGGTCTCCGTTCAGTTTCAACACAATTCTCATTTCTCCGAACTCTAAATCTCAGTATTTATACGTGTGTGCGCTTGGCAGAGGAGCCTAGAAAAGTCGATTGTTCAGATCTGATATGGCTTTTTTTTGTTGTTTTCTGATGCCGGTTTCTTAAAACGCAGTGTACTGCGGAGCTTCAAATTAATTAACCTTTCTCACTTTAGCCACGAGCGGTGCTCTTAGACAGCGTTTGTAGGTATACTCAGAGAGAGAATTGTTGGTATATTAGCACCCTAGGTATTGAGTTTTTAGGGCTGCTGCTTATTTAACATGATATCACTCTAAACTCCGCGGCTCTACCTCTAATGTGTCATGAGATATCCAAATAGTTGCTACTTGTATCCCATTTCATGTATTCATCGGACGGATTACAGAATGTCGGGCTGTTCCAAACAAGTGTCAATAATGATATTGGTATTACTGGACATTGTCAGTTGCCTGACCGTCGTTTCTCGTGTTCTTTACTTTATACGAAACCTTACAGTGGAGCAATTGGGCAAATTACAAATCCCTTATGTATTGAGTTGACTTTTGGCACATGGACGGTGGACGCGCCTTATTGGTTTTGCTGAGTGATATGAAATTGAGATGTATAGGCGGAGCACTGAGATACTTTGTACCTGGTCCGGCTCAATGTGATTGAGTGTGATTTTCATGTGTGAATCACAGCCGCACAGCACTTAATCGTGACGTCATCACGAAATGATGACGTCATATGTGACACTTTGGTCCTATGCTGTGATTTCATTCTCTCTGCTCTTTCTCCCCGCTAGATCTCATCATTTTCACACTTGCACATTTAAACACGTTTTGTGCGATATGCTGCAAACTTAATTAGATTCTATACCTTTACAATGCCTTATCGATCTGAACCTAATTTTAGGGTGACCAGGCCCTAGCCCAGCCTTCATCCCCTCCCCTTGATAACATCATGGTACCTAATGTACTCTGATACTTGTTCTCCCCTCATTTTCTCTCGTTCCATTCCTCGTTTTATCTACTCTGTGACTTAATTAGTATCGTAATGGGCGATAAAATAAACTGCATTATAATTAACACGCCGTACTGATTCCACCAAGACTCTAGTCTGTGTCAGAGATTCCTTGTTGCGTTCCACATCGCACATCACAACTTTTACTTAAACTTCGTTAACTAAACATATCAAACTTTTAACTTGACCTTGATTGCTGCTCCGTCCCGGTAGTCGTTTATACTACTGCTCCTTCACAAAATCAACTATTCTGGAAAATGGGTGTTTAGCGAGCGGTTCAGGGTGGGATCCCTCACGCCGTTTGTCCTGCTATAAATTGTTTGTACTTTATTCTCCATGCGACAATCTCACCTTACATTTCGTTAGAACGAATCATGTTGTCACTTACTGCTTGCCGGCTTGGTAACTCAATGAAATTTCAATCTGTTTGACAAATTGTTACGTTTCGTTTTGAGGCTGGACTCTTGTTCTTGTGCTAGTAACAGTTCAAAGCTGTTGTTGGGCGTAGTTTCATGTTGCAAATTTAAGTTTTTAACGGGTTATCGGGAATGATTCGTACTTGGACTCACGAAATCTAATTTCCTGAAGTGTAATGAATTGCTGCTATTAAACTTTAAACTATTGATCTCTATTTATAGGCCGTAAATATTTGTGTTTAAAATTTCTGCGACACTAAATGGATTAGCTGTAAGAATAATATAATCTTACAATTCTAAAGTCTTACTTTAATTAGTAACCATCACAAACTTTAAAACTTTGTTTTGTGGTGCGCCAACAATAATCTAAAACCTGGACCCCAAGGTCTCTTTTAATGACTGGCGATCAAGTTTTTTGCCGATTTTCTGGGAGTAAATTCGAGTTTACCACAAACTCACCATCCATTAATCTGTCTGAGCCTTGTATCCGCATGATCCACCTCAAGCTGCCTGTATGGTCTGTTAATTCTAGGATTCAAGTACATTTAATTTTATTAAAATTCCGCTTGGCACGGGCCCTAGTCTGTGAGTCATACAGAGACAGATCGCTCGAAATTCTGCTTAGAATTCTGTTCCCAATCCGGTCTGCTGTACTGTAGCCTGATGTCGTTTGTAGACTTTACTATCTTTCATCACCGGTCAAGCACGAGTCACGACTGGTTCCTTTTTGATTACTGAAACCTAAGTCTAAAATTTGTACTTTGAAAGTAACTATGAATATTAACATTCCAAGTTTTAACTAATTTAACGATTTTACCTTTCCAGATCCCAGCAATGCTGATCTATATGATTTGAGAACCGTCAAAAGGTTTGTGAAGGAGATACTACACCTACCAAAAGAAGTATTTGCCAGAAAGTTAGCTTGGAAGTTTCCGCCAGTTGCCCTCGGAAAGTTTCACAAGTGGTTGCTCAGCAAGCTTCAAAGGTTCGACTGTGAAATCCCTCAAAACGCTACCAACTTCATATTCGACGCTTTTTCCCAGGTTTGTTCTATTTTTAGGGAATTCGTTCACTGCAAAAAGGCCGATAATTTGAAAACTTAAAATGACGACTCCCAAATGTTTTAACATTTTCCCAGCAACAACTTAACCTTCATTATATCTAGTCTTCAAGATACCTTACCCTTCACATTTACTATCCAGAGTCTGTACCTATCACGTGCTATCTACGACTTGGTACATCTCATCAGAACACTAATGGCTATGGAACGTACCGGCCTCCCCACAACCACCAAACTCCCTCTCCAACCCGCTCCCGGAACCCAACAACCTCTCGTCCCCCTGCCCCACTCGCACGCTGAACTCCACAACCCTCAGACCATGGCTACCTTCTTGGCGGAACTCAGTGAGATCAAGTCTCAGCTGGCACGAGCGAAGCAAGAGGGAGAACACGTGGTCGGCACTCAGGCTCACATCTCTCAACAGGTTTAATATTCAGACTTCCACTTCGATTAGGTCAGCCTTTTTTTACGGTCTATACTTGGATCAGTGGCATATTTAATATTTATATATAAAGTTTGTGTAATAATCATCCAGACTAACATTTTTTCGACTCAAGGACTTGTTGAACTGTAAATCCTGGTTGTTGTTTAGTTCATTGTTGGGTTGTGTAATCGTTTCTATCACATAGAACGAGGAGATAAAGGCACTGCGAGAACAGTTGATGAGCTACGAAGCCAGAATTTCAGCGCTTAGCAACAATGGTGCTCGCAGTAGGGATTCTGATCTGGGAAGCTTCTTCAAGGAAAACTTTAAAAGGATTAAAAAGAAGACGATGAAACGCAGACAGAGTTTGACCGGACAGGGCAAGTCGGACGGAAAGATAACAGTACGTGGCGGAGCTCCTATAGACGAGCAGAGCAAGGAGAACTGTCCTGAAAACGGATTCAAATCACCAGCAGTTTCTATCAGATCACACGGCGAGGAGGAGGTTTCTTTAACTCACATCGATGTGGTCACGTCAACTCCCACTCTGCCGCGGGCGAACAATGGGAGTAACTCTGAGAAGGGATCTCACAACGAGATCTTTGTTCACATGGGGGATCATGTCAGCGCCCATTCTATGCAGGTTCGACATTATTTTATCTAATTAATTGTTGGGAGTTCGGATATCGATGGATTCAAATCCCGACTGATGTTTTAAGAATATCCCTGTGCCGATAATTCACCATTGACAAAATCTTCATATTATCTAGCATGAGTTTCTTACCATTTCATCATTCAGGTCCGCTCGGCAGATAGTCTAGCTCCACCAGAACAGTCACGTGACCGACTATACAGCTCCGATGACGACTACGTCCAGATGAACGGAGTACCATCCCCTGGAGCAACCCTCACTCGAGCATCCCTCGCTCGAGCATTCGACCCTCTCAAAGAGGAAGAACCTGCAATCCGGCGGATTAGCAGAGATTACAAACGATCATCAGTATCTTCTTCAAACAGCAAAGTTTCAATAGAATCACTGAAGCTGAAACACAAACAGACGATAATGATAGACAGTGATGAGTGTGACGTGCAGGACGAGAATGAAGATTATATGCAGATGAACCTGTCCGGAGACCAGGTTGTCAGAGATCAGTTCAGCTCGTACGAGGATGAGTGCGAGGATTACGTTGAAACTGACGTTCTCCCCTCATCTCGGTTTGAGGAATATGTTGAAACAGATATTCTCCCTGCACCTCGACTATTTCAACAGCCACCTGCTCCTGTTCAATCTAAAGAAGAGAATGTGCAGAAAAAGGAAGAGAAGAAGGAGGATATTTGTGCTGGGAGTGATACAATATCCACTGCAACTCTTCAGGCTGATGTTAATGTTACAGAGGAGAGACAAATTAATGCCGTAAGTTTATTTTTATTTAGAAACATGACAATTGGAATCATTCAAGAGTGCTAAACGACTATCTTTTCTGCAATCGCACTAACTCTTCGCAAACTAAACTCTTCATAGTCCTACAATAGTTTCTTCATCACACACTCTCTTGTTCCGCTCAACTAACATTCATGGTGTTAAGATTCAGGAGAAGGAGATGTCACGTGATGTAGACAGTATCATGGTGGATATAGCGACCCTGCACCGGATGGAGCAGGATCTGATCAAACCCGCCCCTCCTCCACTGCACCCTAAACCTACCCTGAGAAAGGGCATGTCACCCTTAACGTCTTCTGGTGAGTTTGTATTAATTACTTACTGGATATGAACCCTCCTGCAAGTGGTCCTAAATAATCCCCGTCCCCGAGTTAGCCGACCCTCCGATGAAAATCACTCTAATTTCTCGTCACATCACCAGATCCAACATTTACAGACTTGATGAAGACGTGTAAATTGCATTTTACGGCCCGTTCCATGATTAGGATATAACAATGAAATGAGATCAACTGTAACTGTGATATGTAGCAGCAGTACTGGGGAATCAAGTCAGACTGCAGGCTGATTAGTCCCCCGATCTATTGGCCCCTCTAGTTCTCCCCGTCTATTCAAATATCTATATCTCATTAAATTAGGCTAAACGTTCTAATTAATGAGGTTAGCAACATTCTCTAAATACCTCTTCTCTTCAGCTGTTATTGCATCACCAGCCCAGCCACACAGTGGTGGTATGGTAAAAGCTCACGAGGTCCCAATATACGCCAAAGTGGAGAGGATAACTAGTCCGCCGCTCCCTCGGATCAGGCCCTTCTCGTACGGTGAAGCAAGCATATCCAGCTACACCAGCCAAAACGAGGTAGGTTAACCCACAGCAAAGTGTCATGGAGCAGCGAGATCAGCTAATTTGATAATTGTTTTATAATTAGTTGATTGTTTTGCATACCTTGATAGACTGGTCCCAGCCTTTTCTTGTCGCACAATGTAAACGTGCCTTGTTACGGTCGGCTCACAAGTTTTGAAACTTTAAACTCGATATAGTTCCTGATGGATATCCCTAATATCCTAACACATCTGCCTGTCTAATCTATAGCAAACGAATTAACCCCCGTCACACTGAGCCTGTGTTTTAAACATCCCCGAAACCTTTCAGTTGTCTCGTCACGAGGTGTGCTCCACCAAGACAAACCCCCGGAAGACAAGTCTCACAAGCAACGGCAGTAGTGTGGAACTCAAGAGTGACTATTCATCTGATAGACCCAGTTCCTACAACACTTCCCACACCGCTAATAGTGATCACGGTGACAGGTGAGATTCTCTCCGCGGGTATTATAAAAAGCGGGTGTCAGGCTGAGAGAGAGGCTGTATAAGTTCGATCACCATCCTCGTGCTACCTGCCAACAATTTGTGATTCCTGACATTTTTAAAAGTGTTGTTGTATCCAGATACCTTATGTCTGAGCTACAGTGCTGTATTTTCGTTTTGTTTTTTGCCGAGCTAATGAGCCCTCTGATTGTAGACATGCCAACACCCGGTTTATCATTCCAGGTTTTCAAGGATAAGCAGTGACGTAACCCCTGATGAAAACCACCGATTGAGCGTAATATCGGACGACAAATCAGACGGAGTCTTTGGGAGTCCCGTCAAGAACACCCGACTTGATCCCCTGACCTTGCCCCCTAACACACCTGCTCCTGAGAAACCTCCTAGAGGCATGGTGGCAGAAAAGCTCCTTCACAGTTCCTCCCTTCCCACTCGCACTCTTAGTTTGTCTTCATCTGAGCGGCGGACTCGCAACACTAACAGCACCAGTGGACTGAATGTTTCTTTCGAAGTAATGGAGGAACTGGAGGACTGCAAGGATCAGGAAGTGGGCTCAGATTTCTTCAGTAAAGGGAAGAAAGAAAAGAAACAAACGCCTTTCAAGAAGATGTTGAGTTTTGGTAAGGGTAAGAAAAAGAGGAGTTCCTCTTCCGGAGAACAGACTCTGGCAGCGGTCACACCCCGAGCTAGACAGCCAGAAGTGAGGAACATGGAAGGAAGAGTCTCGGTAGAAGATTTCAAACATTCGCCCCACTTCAGCGTTGAACGACCAGGTTCCAGACCAGGCTCTTTGAGCTCTCCTCTACTTCTCCACAGAAGCAGAGACAACAGTGGTGCTTCGTCTTCCTCTCACTCTTCAGGCGCTGCTAGCTCATCCGCACATTCCAGACACTCGACACATTCCGGCACGCACTCCACCGATAACCAGCTGGCAGATAATAGCCGGAACTCGGCCAGCATACATTCTGGAGAATTTGCGAGCCCGGTCAATGTGAGTCCTATTGGAGAACTTGATATCGAGCCAGAGATTGACAATATTGATAATAGGCATACCTTTGATTTTGATATTAAAAGTGAACATAACTCGAACAGCAGTATTATTTACCCTGGTGAGGAGGTGCCTGATAACGACATCGCTAACGACAATTCTAGAAAATCCTCCAAAGGGTTCTACGATGATATAGGAGTGTTCATCAATTTCAACGAACTTCCTGTGGCTAAGGAGCCCATCCTAGATCTAACCAATGAAACTATCATTGATTTGGACGGCGATATTATCAAAGATCTAGAAGAACTCAAGGTGCTAAGAGGTAAAAGTCTGCCCGCTGTGGTCAATGATCGTAAAACTCAGCCCACTGATCAAATCATTCTGGACAATGATCGTAAAACTCAGCCCACTGAGCAAATCATAGTGGACAATGATCGAATGAATCAGAATGACAATATCTTCGAGAAGAAGGACGATCTGCAAATATTAAGAAGAGATTCTCCGTTACAGAAAAAGAAATTGGAGCGAATCATGGACAGTAATCTTACCGCTAAGGTAAACTCCGAACTGAGGATTAATTTCGAGTGCAACATGATGGTTCAAGAGATCGAACGAATCGGCTCACCATCACTTCTCAATAAAACAAGAGACAATGTGGATATCATCTCCAGTCCGAATAGAATGAAGAAAACTCCTAGTCCAACTTTTTCGGAGATTGATGCATTGTTAGGAAATATCACTGCCGAATTGGATAATTTAGAGTTTTGATTTTTTTTGATGTGATAATTGTTTAGGATTAGCCACCATTTCTTTATCACGCTTTTTTTGCAGAATGAGCTGCACATTAATTTAAAAACCGATAAAATTTGTTTTAAAGCTGAACTGCTAGTAGTTGTTTTTTGTTTTGGCACAAATATTGACTTGTTGTTAGAAATTAAATCACGCTATTCGTGTAAAAGAGTGATTTGTTTCCATTTGGTTTTGACATTTTGCTTTGAAAATTGTTGAAAATTATGTATTGTTATTTTCTTTCTTTTAATAGAGTAAGTCGCTTAAATAAGTAAAACATTTTGTCGAAGGCAAACCTAATTATAATAATTATGAAGAATTGTATAAAGTAGGGCTACACTCTACAGCTATCCTGATTCTAAAGTCTCGTATAAATAAACATAGCCAATATGATCAACTTTTTCGAATTTGTCTTCGATCTGAACAAAGTCTTTAACTCTAAACTTCTAAATGATGACATATGAGGTGTGATTTATTTGCAAATAGCTGCTAGGAGTAGGAGTATTGTTCTCGTCTCTAAGCTCAGTAATTCCTTACATTTTTGAGTCCCGGAAGACCACTACACCGAGTGAAGGGTTGCAACATTTTGGCATAACTACAGGTAAATATTTGTCTCTGTGAAAATAAGCACGTAATTATGTAATCATGTTCTTTGACTCGTTCTGATTTTCCCGACGAATATTATAAACAAATTTACTACAGTATTAACACATTCTCGGCAATGCTGACGATCCTTTGTTGGCCGCCTAAACCGTTTTTTCTGGATTATTTGCGTCCTTGACCTGCTTTACTTTTCGAGACTGAGAATATATAGTATATCAGATTAAGAACACAGAAGCAAGAGAGTTTATCTTGAATATCCATTTTTCATAATATATATGAACTTATAGACTTGCAAACGTTCATCAGTAACTGTAAGCGAGTAAATAACAATTAGTGAACAATTAAAGTTATACAAATTAACCTGTGTTTGATAGTCCTCATGTTCCCTGTACCGTCGGTGTAGTGAAATGTTGAGGAATATCGCGATAACCTGTATGAACATGAACACGAGGGCCGCTGAGCCTGCTATCGTCAACCACTGCTGGGCGTAATCTTCCACGATATCGTAACAACCCTGGGGAAGTCAAGTTTAACAAGATAAACACGGTGTTCCTTAGTGCTGAAGATTAGGTCGATCATGAATCGTGATTATATAAGTGATTTGTACGGTCTCAAAAAGGGTGAACAGTGCGGCGGAATTTTAAAACTCTTACAGTTCTATATGAAATTGGCCCAGAATTTAACATCTAATATTGCGAAAATACCTTAAGGTTAATGTTCCCTGGAGCCTTCTTGATGTCCTTCTTGTCTATCACACCCTCTCCGCACTTTGCCTCCTTGGTCTTACAGCAAGAGTCAGGAAGCGACTAAATCGGGTACGATATTGGTTAGATACTGCCGTGTTATTGGGTTAGATACTGCCGTGTTATTGGGTTTAAGATACTGCCGTGTTATTGGGTTTAAGATACTGCCGTGTTATTGGGTTTAAGATACTGCCGTGTTATTGGGTTTAAGATACTGCCGTGTTATTGGGTTTAAGATACTGCCGTGTTATTGGGTTTAAGATACTGCCGTGTTATTGGGTTTAAGATACTGCCGTGTTATTGGGTTTAAGATACTGCCGTGTTATTGGGTTTGAGATACTGCCGTGTTATTGGGTTTAAGATACTGCCGTGTTATTGAGTTTGAGATACTGCCGTTTTATTGGGTTTAAGATACTGCCGTGTTATTGGGTTTAAGATACTGCCGTGTTATTGGGTTTAAGATACTGCCGTGTTATTGGGTTTGAGATACTGCCGTGTTATTGGGCTTAAGATACTGCCGTGTTATTGAGTTTGAGATACTGCCGTGTTATTGGGTTAGATACTGCCGTGTTATTGGGTTAGATACTGCCGTGTTATTGGGTTAGATACTGCCGTGTTATTGGGTTTAAGATACTGCCGTGTTATTGGGTTTAAGATACTGCCGTGTTATTGGGTTTAAGATACTGCCGTGTTATTGGGTTTAAGATACTGCCGTGTTATTGGGTTTAAGATACTGCCGTGTTATTGGGTTTAAGATACTGCCGTGTTATTGAGTTTGAGATACTGCCGTGTTATTGGATTTAAGATACTGCCGTGTTATTGGGTTTAAGATACTGCCGTGTTATTGGGTTTAAGATACTGCCGTGTTATTGGGTTAGATACTGCCGTGTTATTGGGTTAGATACTGCCGTGTTATTGGGTTTAAGATACTGCCGTGTTATTGGGTTTAAGATACTGCCGTGTTATTGGGTTTAAGATACTGCCGTGTTATTGGGTTTGAGACTTTTTGATGTTCTGTATTAACTATCAGTATCACACATTACATCGACAGGTTGGACTGGTTGGTCGATACATAACTCAATTTGTTGACATGAAGATATGTTGATTGTTGATAATGATATTGAATTAGGATTCTATATTTACCCCAAACTTAGTGCTGAACCAGTTGGATGCGTTTGGTGTGGTGTAATCCTCCCAGCCGAACTGTCCACAACACTTGTGGTTCTCTTGAACATAGTCCCAGGAGTCCGTGAACTTGACGTTATCTCCTCCTTTTCCTGGTCGCGAGTATAGTAATTAGCAAGTGTGATAATTTGACTAATATGAGGTTTGTTACGCTAAATACTCTAAATACTCTAAAAACCCCTGTTAATAGAATTAGAGATAATATGAGAATAGATAAAGTAACTAAATCAACTGAAGAAAGGAATAGAATTAGACTAGATTTGTAACTAGCAAAACACAAAGAAATAAAGAACAAAGCCTAAGTATAATATCCAACACTAGAGTTAACAATTAACTATTGACATGCACGAACACTTATATTCTATAACTGCTACTATAAAAAATAGTATATAATAAATAGTATATAATACTATACAAATTGACAGCTAACGTTTGCAAAGATCATTAAAATTTTTGGATCAGAATTTGTGCTTCTTAGAAATATAGCCATACTGTTATTAATATCCGTTAGATTCTCAAATTATCAACGCATGATTCTGAAAACAGTTAAGTATCAATTTAATTAATAATCAATCAGTTAAGTATCAATTAAATGAATATTGCGTTAATTTAAGTACCGTAAAAGAGGAGTGAGTGTGTCATCCCATCCCGCATAAAGTAATGAATACTTGACTCAAATATGAACATGATAACCACAGCTGCAAACTGAGCTAGAAGCACAATTATCATCGCAGCCAGGAACTAGGAGGATCAACGTTAATAATGTTAGCTATTTAGTTGGTACACTACAGTATACACATAGTGGGTTGCAGGAGGCTCACTTCCTGAGATGTCAGAAGATCTTTTATAGTTTTATCTTTTTATTGGTTTCCATAAAGTTTTAGAGATAATAGCAATTAGAGAATAGTGATACCAGGGGTGTAGGAATGATTTTCTTCATGGGGGGGCCTAATTCTAAATATTTTTTGGCGCTTCGCGCCACAGCATAAATTTTTTGGCGCTTCGCACCAAAGCCTTAATTTCGGGGGCCTCACGACAAATCGCGATTTTTTTTCAGTTCTCCACGTCATATTGCGCATTTTCCTTTAAATCTGAGGACCAAATATCACGTTTTCTATAATTAGTATATGAAACCAATCAGTGTCACTTCCACAACCTTCCAAATGTAGGTACTTCAAAAACCGAAAAAAATATTTTCGGCTCAGAATGATCAGGGTAGTATAGCAACAAAAGTAGTTTCCAAGAAAACTTTGAAAATTTTGGACTTACAAAATTTTCGGTCCGAGTCATTCTCGATACGTACCTCTGAAAGCAGAGCTCCCGCTTATGAGCTCGTATTGCGAAGGGGAGGCCTGCCTTCCGAGATCGCATTACAAAGGGGAACCATAGAGTCCAAATTCGTATATCGAACTTCGAAAACCGAAAAAAATATTTTTGACTCATAATGATCAGGGTAGCATGAAACATGAAGAAAAGTAGTTTCCAAGAAAACTTAGAAAATTGTTGACTTGGAAAATTTTTGAGTTAAACATTTTTTGACTTGGAAAATTTTCGGGAAAATTGTTTTTCCAAAAATTTTTAGAAACCTAAATTAAAAAGTTGGCCCTTTTTGGCCCCTTGCCCAGATTTCATGGGGGGGCGATGGCCCCCCCTGCCCCCCCGCTTCCTACACCCCTGAGTGATACATTATCGGAATCTATTTGAATGGACATTAATTAACGCTGGAAGCCGAGCGTTCATTTAAATGTCCCTTCAAATATCATCCGATAAGGTAACTAGTTGAAGTCCATTTACCCCGGACAGAAGAGAAGACCTCTTCTTACAGACCCCACACAGACCAAAGAAAGCAGTGATAAGGAGTACCCCTCCAACCGCCACCAACACTATCATAAGTGGGGCCAGCTCGTCGTTGATACATGTCCCAATCTCCACTGTTTCTAGATACAAGTAGACTCCCACTCCCGTTAGAGCACCTCCGATCAGCTGGGGTTGTATAAGCATATTACAAACAAACAGCTCAATGGATCTGTTTTAACCCCTTGGCCTTCTGTAATTCGATTTTGATAAAATTAGAGCTGAGGTGTTCTCTTAGTCGTATCCTTCAAAAGAAGAACAAGTATCGAATTCAGTAGGCATTTAAAGAATAAAATTAACATGAACGTAATAAACAAAGACTAACCCAAACGAGCAGTATCAGCAAATAAGCTATCTTGGACAAAGTGCCCTCCTGGATCTCCATCCTCAAAATTGTCCTGTATTTCTCCGGAAACTTTAGTTTGTGTACCCCTGCACTCTGAAGCTTTCCCCGATCAAAGAACGATATCCGAATTAAAAAACGTTAACAACACAAAATGTAAGCACACAGGCAGCAGTATTCAGTAGTGTAGCGAACAGATAGATAGATAGTAAGCTCGCAACACTTACATTGTGTAAGCTTACAATCTCAATTTTCCATTTGAAAACTATTATTTTTGTACACTGGAGCATTGGTCATTGGTGACGTCAGATGTAGAATTTGAAGTGGGACAACTGGACTTTTTGGAAAAGCCTATTCTTTTTTACTTTTTATGCACGTACGGACCATAGTCCGAGAAAGGTGGAGTTAAGTTGTTAAGTTGTTAAGTTGTAAAGTTGTTAAGTTGTTAAGATATTAAGTTGTTAAGTTGTGCAGCTATACTAAACAGCTTGTTTTAAAGAGCCGAGGGCTTTGAAACCGGTTTATCGAGTACAATATAATATAAAAATAAACTGCAATCGTAACATTCATGTCGATACTAACTGAAATAATATAATCTGTAGTTTAAATAATAATACTTACTGTCACTTAATTAAGATATATGATATAATAGAATAAACATCTCTTTTATTTCCACACTAATTCTCACACCAAGCTTTAATTCACACACCAAAACTTTAAATTTTATCATATTACAAATGTCCTAAAATATACGTATCTTATCTTTAGTTAAAAAGTCACGGGGTGCAGCCGTTGAAACTAAAATAATTGATCACGCCGATGTTATTTTATCAAAATCAGCTGAAAATTTGAAATATATGTTAATATTAATCGATACCAGTATGCAGTATACACTCCAAGCTGAGCCTCAACAGTCAACACTAACAGATGTCTGACGTCTGTCAAAAACTTATGAATATGATGACGGCTGCACCTATTATTAGGGGTCAGATCATATGACGTATAATTAGTGATGTGACGTATAATTAGTGACGTGATCCACCAGCTACGATTTACAGAACATGTGAACTCTACCCTACATCTTTTTTTACCCCTTACTTTTGATTTAAATTAACAAGTCACATTTTTTCGTAGTATAATTAATCAAATCCCTTATGTGATATACGAGTCGAGCAGTCAAATCTTAAAGATCATGTTTACTTCTTAATGAACTGCCATGCTATGATGTACATGTGAATTCTACCCTGTATATAGCCCATTTCTAGGTCAGTTAAATTCTACTGATGGATCACATCACTAATTATACGTCACTAATTAGTGACAAGATCTGATCTCCCTGGCCCCCTAATAATGAGGGGGCCTGGAAGTCGGCCTCCCATGATGACAGACGTTCAGAATCCCGGAGGCAGCGCCAAAATGAGTCACCGGGACCAATTTTCAAATATCAGTTTTCCTTGACCATTGACCGAAATGTCAATGCTTTTAAACAATTTTGTCGGAAGTGACAAATTAGTGAGTTTATTATAAACAAGTTGAGGTACTGTGCACTGGAAGCAAATTGGAGACAGATTTGGAAAATTTAAAATCTCTTAAAATTAAATGTCCCATTTTCAATTATAATTATTTGACCAAAACCCATAATCAATTTTATTAACAATGAATTTGAGATAATGATGACGTCCAGGGAATACTTTAAACTTCGTTGTCATTGTCGAATAAAAACTCATGCATTTTACATTAAGGATGAAAAGAAACTAGAACATAACTGATTTTAAATTTCCTCGAATAAAACTTTCAACTAGCGGGTTTCCCGTTTCTAGTATTACATACTACGAGTTTCTACTACTTCTAACTATATATTAACTAAGAATATGTTCATGTTCCGAAACTAAAACATACATATTGCACCATCATGAAACTGTATAACAACTTGGCAGCAGTCCCCATTAAAAGTACCCTCACAAGCAGCTGTAGTACACTCATGTTTTGTGTAGTCCGCAGGGTCAGTCGTAACACGGCTACATGTTTTACCCTTTTCACAGGGATCTGGGTCGCAGGGAGTTCTGAAATTTAATAAAAACAACGTTAATTGCTGTTTTAACGATTTTATTTACAAAACTTAAATATAAAACAAAAAATATTACGAAGAGTGATTGCAACTATTAGAAGTTAGATGAAATAAAAATTGTATAAGTCTCGAAATTTACAATAATCAACGCTATTCAATAAAATGAATACTTGGTGTGTGGTGGTTATTGAATAACATGAATTACCTTAGTTCCCAAAAATTTGTGTGCCATTATATTGAGCACAATTTATTTGAGCCCGAAAAATTTGGGCAGAAAATTTGAACTCATTTGGGCGACCGAAAATTTGGGCACAAATTCTTCGAAAAATGAACGATTTTCCACTAAAATTTCAGTTAGATATTTGCCTTAGTTCATTATTATTCCTTATTATTCCAGTCATTTTGCTTTCAATTTTAAGCATGTAGGTGGTAGTCTGAGTTGTTTCACATTATGAAATTTACGATCTGCCCCGTTGTCGGGAGAATTCTTGCCTGTTCAGATAATCTATCAGGGTAAAACAAAGCGTTGTGAGCCCAAATTCAAGTTCCCATCCAGCTTCCAGGTTACCCATACCCACAACCATTGGTCTAATACCCTAACCAGTGTCCAGTTCTTGGAGAAAATCCTTCTTCCCCACATAGAATCAGTTCGAGCCTCCATCAACAACCCTGAGCAGAAAGCGCTACTGATATCAGATGTGTTTCGGGCCCAACACACACAGACACTAAAAGATCTGATGACAGCCAACAACTGCATCCTACAGAAAGTTCCAGCTAATATGACCCATCATCTACAGCCCCTGGACATATCTATCAATGGACTGGCTAAGAAATTCATGCGCAATAAGTACGAAGATTGGTACGCGAAAAACATAGTGTGTCAGCTCAATGGAGGAGTTTCATCAGACAATGTGAAAATTGATACCTGCTTGACAGTGATCCGTGAAGTACACGCTCGTTGGATCAACGAACTTTTTGTATATTTAAAAGGGAGGCCAGATGACATAAGGAAAGGCTTTGAGAGGTCGGGTATAACTGATGCTTGTAGATCAGACTTTACGGTGGATGATAATCCATTTGCAGATATTGTTTAAATCTCTAGCCATCCGTACCTCTAGCCATTTGTTTTATTAGTAGCTGTTAGTTATTCCAGTTATTTCTATTCATTTAAAATATAAGCCTTTTTACTTGGTCAAGCCATGAATGACAGATTAGAAAACTAAAATTTCAAATATTATTTCACTTGGATATGAAGAAAAAGCCATCTTTCTATAGATTTCAGGGCCACAGGCCAAATGCCAAAAGTTTGGTTAGCAAAAAATTTAGCAGACGGAAAAGATTTATGCAATTAATTTGGTCTGCAAAAAATTTGGGCGAGAGGCCCGCTCAAATTTTTTGTCGCCCAAATTTTTGGGAATTAAGGTATATTGAATATCAATTTTCAATCACCACCATGTATAAATCTTTACTTACGAGGTAAATTGTTCACATGTATCTCCTTCTGTTCCTTGTGGACAGTCACACTCCAGTTCAACATCTTTAACAGAACACTCGCCCCCATATGAACAGTATTTTTCAGGACAAGTAACCTCCTCACAGACGTTCAAATAATCTTCTTTCTAAAATTATATAGTGAATTGATGATTAGGCGAATTTATTGAACTCAAATTTCGGACAGCACATCTTCGCAGTGTGGACTGCTGAAAAATTACCCACAAAGAAAATTAAAAACGAAATTTGTGGTGACTCTTCATTTCACAAGGTCTCTCAAAAATACACTTAGTCTTACCAGCTTGTAACCTGCACTTGCATCGCATTCACATATATTGTTACTATTGCATTGTCCAAACGTACAATCATCATCTTCAGCACACACTGAATGAAAATAAAATAACTTCTAAACGAGTGACCGATTTTAAGCTATTCGAATAAATTGGTAGCATTAAACTGTCAATCACTAAATCAAAAGCATATATTTAATTTTATTATTGTATACATATTTTACTTTTAGTATTTTTTCACTTACCGTCACAATCTTCAAGGGTTTCGTCAAAATACCCTGTGTTTAGACAGGTCAATGTTTGTACATCCACATCTTTAGGTCCTCCTGAGACATGATATCCATCTGTACATGTGACAGTGACCACATCGTCTACATTATACGGTCCGTCCGCACTAGCAGCTTGATTGGAGAGAACAAACGCATCGCACTGAACAGATGTACTGGTACACAGTCTTGGATCAGTGTTAGACTTCTCATAACCATCGTTACATAGGCACTCTCCGTATTCTGTGCATGTTCCACCTACACAGTCCGCTACATTATCAGCACAGGCTGAAGGATACAATTTTTATCAGAATATATTATAAAATATCTTAATTTAAATTTAATATCCAACAAACTAGGACAACTGAAATGTAACATAGTTCTCAAAATCTGTAAGCTTCAACAAACAAAAAAGTATTAATCTAATTCTAAAAGATATCGTACAAATAACGAATCAAAGAACTTTGTGAAAATCGGTTGGGGATATTAAATAGGATTCAGGTCGAAATCCAAAACAGAAGCATCAACTCATTCTTCATCGTATATGGGAAACAACAATATTTTCAAGGCCCTTTCGTGGATTGTCTTTATCAAATGCACTTACCCACACAGCTAGCTGTACCGATACCACCTACAGCGGGATCAGGAACAAAATTACCGGCGTTACACTCAATGTTTCCTTCGACATCATCTATTGATGTACCCCAGGAAATGAAGTAGTTCATATTACAATATATTCTTGCTTTATCACCATCTGTGTAACTGAAAGCAAAGGGGGATATACTCCTCACGTTTATCCTTTCTATGTCGAAGCCGTCGCACTCTGGATTATCTGAAAATGCAACAGCGATTAAGAACCGGGCTTAACAAAAGCACTGATAGAGAAAATATGAACGAATTCTCATTGTCAATTAATGAACAAATGGACAAAATAAAATGCTTCAAAAGGCTTTATAAAAGTTAACAATTTACGCTCCATCACGTCAAAGCAGTATCTTTTTCTTTAAAAAGAAGTTATTGAAAAAATAAATGTGCTCGAGTGAATAACAATAAACAGTTCTCT